CACGTCGAAGTGTATGTAAGAGTTGACAGATGATACTCCTACGGCTACTTCCTTGTGGCATGCGTGATCGTTTATGCATATACTAGATGCTTTCGTAGCGCAATATAAGACCATCAATCGATGATGATAATTTGGTTTCTTTCCTTATCCCATCCGATCTCCCAACCAAATCCAAAGGTTTGACAGCTGTGGAGAACTATGCTTGGGCAAAAAATGTTGAGGTAACTTTCACTATCACATTGGAGATTCGGGAGGTTCGCACCATGCCCGGCCGGTTCTGTAACTACACTTCACCTGACGGAAGCGCAACTGTATGTGGGTTTCCTGTAGTCTTTGACTGCACCGCCAAGAAGTACAAATGCAGCATGTTGTACTTCTCAACAACTTCCAGCGACAACCCCAAGATTGTGATTGCCTTTGACACACGTGGTACGTAGACGATTTCTTGGTATTACTAGTTAGAAGTTACTTATACTTATCACTTATGGCATGGTGAGGCTGCTCTTCTTTGTGCAATACCATAAATTCCCCCCTATTATACTGTTGGTGCATATTCGTTTGCACGTCATCCTGTCGTCTGTTCGCATCATTTCGTTGCATGTGTTTTGTGTGCTACGTTGTTTGTATGGTTTGTTGGGTTTGCACGTCTTTGCATGCTCATCTTGTGCTTGTGCAGATGTGCTTGGATTGTGCATGACATTGAGCACATTCCAACGAGCCAAGAATTGTTGGAATCGGAGCACATATGAAGAAGTTACGAAGAAATGTTTGATGGATTTGTTGCAACTCATTGGAAATCCTTGGCAGCTGGTACACCAAAGTTGGAGAGCCCTATAACGAGGAGGGACCAGCATGTGTGGGACTTTTGTCCTCACCTTGCGGCTGTAGCATTTGGGGTTTGGAGGCCAACCTGGCACAGTGTGAATTTTGTCTTGCCAAGCTGGCTGAACCTGAGGATGGGGAGTCAAGACTTTGACTCTTGTCATGTTCTTGACCAAGGGCCTCCAGGGTCCTTCCCTTTCATCCTTCCCTTCCTACCCCACCTTCCAACTATGCTTCAATGTCTTTTCCATCATGCCTCTGAACTTGTAAGCTTCAATCATAGTGACTCTGAGGACTCTCAATTTCTGATAGAGCAGATTACCCCCTAGTGCGCCAAACGTTATAGCTCACTCGCTAAGCTACGGAATCAAGAGATTCAACTTTCAGTGGAAAGCTGACGCTGCAAGCTACATTATATCCGATTTTCAGATCGTTTCATCGATTGGAGTTTTGAATATAGCTTTTTGAAGGTCGCGAGTTTTCTGGGTGTCATAACGAAGTGCTGCAGAAATTTCCAAGGAGCCATTGAATCATCTGCTTATAGCCTTCTCTATCTAACATATACATCATGTTGCATGCATGTACATAGCTGGCAAGGATTCTCGCACGGGGGTGCTCGCCACAGTGAGTGCCAAGGTGATCGAGGCAATCTTTGGTAGCTCCGGTTTTAAGGACTACATGAATGCGAATGCAGAGAGGAAGATGGAAATACCGGCTGCTCTGCACAAACATTGGAGAGCTGAGATGAGATCCTATTGTTGTACACAAACTGGTGCTTTTGACTTGTTTAAAACATCTTTGTCCGAATTTATTTATAGATTAAGCTACATATAATGCTTTTGCTCGAAATACCTTATTGCTACTTCATTATTATTCCTAACCAATATTATTAGTTTACGCTTTGATTGCACAATGGCACAATTGTAATGCATTTGTTTCTTATAACCTAATGCAGATGGGGATAAGGATAGCTGGGGAAGCAATCCAGAGGAAAATCATCTCAATTGAACGCGGGCCAGCGAATGTGAGCAGCTCTTTTCTTCTATTATAACTTTGTACTTTCTCAGATTTCGAACTCAAATCTATATCTTTTTCTTCTATTATATCTTTGTAATTTTGTTTGTCTTTATGAAACCAGGTTGGAAATATGGCAGCAAGGAATGCCAACAACAAGCGCATTGCGTCAAACAATACACCAACTGAGCCTGGAACGCCTATGAAGCACAACAACCGACGTGGCGTCTAAACCGGTAGATATACATACAGCCTTTTCTTTTATACTATTCCTTCAATTTCCTTCTGGTGCCCTCCACCAGGCCTTTTGTCTCCCCTATTTCATGGCTTTGATTCTCCTTATGTACTTCACACTAATCGTACCTTTTCGTGAATAAACCATTAACTCGGAACGCTAGAGCCTATTTTCATATCTCCACCAGTTTGTTCTTTACCTTTTCAATCAGTTCTCATCTTTGATTCCCTCCTCTTCTTTCCCCTGTTTAAATTGAATGTGTCTGCATGCATATTGTTTTCCTGGGTGTATGTTGGATGGCATGGTACTGGGGAATCGTTACGTAATAACTGTTATCATTGTGTCATGTTGTGCAACATTGGAGCATGCATGCCAAGCGTATCCATATCTTCCCCACATATTCCCTGCAATTATCTCTCATGCCCTCATATTCAATCCTGCCCATATTCCATGTCCTCATATCCCGTAACCTCATAACTCGTGCCCACATATCCCATGCAATCATATTCCGAGCTCCCATATCCCATGCCCTCATACCCTTGTGCCCTCATATCATGTAACTCCACTAATCGTGCCCCTAAAACTTGTGCCCTCAAATCCTGTGACTACATATCATGTGCCCTCATTTTCCATGTCCATGTTCTTTACCCCTGCGTTTTGTCGCAGAAGCATTCGTGTATCATTTCATTGCATTGACTGCATTATTATATACTTGCATGCTGTGCACGGTCTTTTGTACCCAATCGTTTTTTTATACTGTATCAGTGCTGGAGTGATGCATATATGCCAAGTGCACTGCGTGGATGGCGGTTATCGTTGTCGGCTTGGAAAGCGTTGTTTCCAAAACGTACATGCCAACACCACTTGCAGCACGGAAGCATTCGTGTATCATTTCATCGCATTGACTGCATCATTATATGCTTGCATGCTGTACGCGCTTGTTTCGTACTCAAGCGTTTCGTTATGCTGTATCAGTGCTGGAGTGACGCATATATGCCAAGTGCACTGCAAAGTGTTGCTTCCAGTACATGTCAACCCCACTTGCAGCATGGAAGCATTCGTGCATTGCTTTATTGCATTTACAGCATTATTGTTCGTGTGTATGCAGTTGATTGGTGTTTTGAAAGGTTGATGCACACCTCCTTGATTCTACCGCCGTATTTATCGACGATGGAACCATAGAAATTGTGCACAACCCACCCGAGCAACCTTAGACTATTGCACATTGTCCTCGTGTCCCATGCCTTCACATCCGCATGCACTAAGATTGTATGCCCTCAGATCTCGTGCCTCATAACTTGCGCCCTCATATCTCATACCCCAATCTTCCGTGCCCTCATACTCATGCCCTCGTATCTCATGCTCTCATATCCTGTGCCCTCAAAACCCGTGTTCTTATATCTCGTGCCTTAACATACCATGCCCTCACATCTGGCGCAATCGTATCATGTGCCGTCATAATATCCAATACCCAGTATCCCGTGTCCCCATATCCTGTGCCCTCATGTTTCGTGCCCTCCGTTCGCTCACGTTTCGTGCCCAAATATTTCGTGCTCTCATACTGCGTGTGTTAGAAATAGATTGCAAATCCCACTTTTGTATTTGTACTTTTATATCCTAGTTTATGTTAGGAATATTCTAGTGGGTTGGGGTGTATTCACAAATCCCAACCTCACCATTGTGATCCCCCTAATCTCCAACTACCCCATTGGAGATTCTGGAGATCCGTATGGGGATTCCCCCGGATTCCCCCCTCATCCATTCTCTCACCTTGCCATGTATTTATAGAGCCTTGGGCTCCTTACCTAATCAATTATTTCAGCTCTATTTCTTACCTGGTATCAGAGCGACCTATCTGCACACGTGGATCAAGGTCCTAGTTTCAACGTGCCCGCGCTACGCGCACTGTCGTCACGACATTCGTCTCGAGTCGTCCGAATTTTCAACGTGCTCCATATTAGAATATACTATGCTATGCTAGTTGTGTATATTGTGTTTACATCCCTAGTTGGGTGTACACCTGTGTTGGGGTGTCAATCCAACCCAATTGTGGTTGGAGCCCCTAAACACAAGGACAACAATTGTGGGGGCACCACAAGTGGGTTGCTTAAGCCACTTGTGGTCCATCATACTTGGACCACCTCCCATTTGGAAGGATCATCTCTCCCTTGTGATTGGTCCTAACCCCCCCTTCTCTTCCAACCTTCCCTTCCTAGCTAATCTGTCTCTTCCTATGTCATGCCTTTGCTTCATCAACAAACTCAATCTTTCTGTTTCAAACAGGGTAGAATAAAAACACAGTAAAAGTGGTGTGGCAGGGGCGGGTACGTGGTGGGCAGCGAGGAAAAGGAATGAGGAATTATTGAGCAAGGTAAGTGTGGTGTGGCAGAAGGGTTGGGGGAAGGTCAACGAGGGGAGGGAGTCGGACAGAATAAGGACTACGTAAAAGTGGTCTACAAACTCAACAAACTCAACCTTTCAATTTCTAACATGGTATAGAGCTATAATGGCTCGCGCCAACTTTTAATCCCGATCCTTCCCCACGCTTCCGCCCTGTCCCCTACCGACGTGCACCTCATTGCCGTCCCCTCCATCGCCGCTCTAGACTCCTAGCCACCTACTCTCTTTCCCTTCACAACTAGTTTTCTATTGGGTGGATTTTCAAACACCCCCAGTGCGCAAAACGCCATAGCTCGGTCGCTAGTTGACATAATTAAGTGATTCGATTTGCAAAAGAACGCTCTTGGTGTCAGCTACAATAACGTAAAACTTCAGACTGTTTCATCGATTGGATTGTTGCATATGGCTTTCCGAAGTCCGCGCATTTTCCTAGATGTGATCACGAAGTGCTACTGAAATTTCCACCAAGTCCTACTTTCATAAGCTAACTGCCATCTTTCCCCATCAGCTTACTCCTATCAGCTAGCAGCAGCAGCACCAGAAGGAGCAGCAGACGCAGCAGCAGCAGCAGCAGCAGCAGCAGCAGAAGGAGCAGCAGACGCAGCAGCAGCAGCGGCAGCAGCAGCAGCAGCAGCGGCAGCAGCAGCAGCAGCAGCGGCAGCAGCAGAAGCAGCAGCGGCAGCAGCAGCAGCAGCAGCAGCAGCAGCAGCAGCAGCAGCAGCAGCAGCAGCAGCAGCAGCAGCAGCAGCAGCAGCAGCAGCAGCAGCAGCAGCAGCAGCAGCAGCGGCGGCGGCGGCGGCAGAAGCAGCAGCAGCAGCAGCAGCAATCTGAGACAATGTACCGTACCGTCAGCTGGTCACTCTGAACAAGCTATCGGATGAAGAAATGACGAAGTTCAATATGCTTGGTGCGAGAGTGGAACACAGGATCGTTGGTGAGGTGAATGGCGCTCTGGTTGTCACACCATAGGGTGCACATCATGGCATACATGAGTGAACCGACAAGCTCAGGGTACGGGTCCTTGCAGGTGTCAGGAGAAGGAATCGGAGGGGCCGTGGGCTGATGCTGTAGTGGGAGTGGAGTGGAGACAGAGTTACTGGAGTCCATGTTGAACCGCTTGAGAAGGTTGTCGATGTAAGACTCCTGGGAGAGGGTGATCGTGCAAGCCTCGCGGTCACGAGTGATCTCCATCCCAAGGTAGTTCTTGAGGTCACCAAGATGTTGGTGCATATTCGTTTGCACGTCATCCTGTCGTCTGTTCGCATCATTTCGTTGCATGTGTTTTGTGTGCTACGTTGTTTGTGTGGTTTGTTGGGTTTGCATGTCTTTGCATATTCATCTTGTGCTTCTGCAGTTGTGCTTGGATTGTGCATGACATCGAGCACATTCCAACGAGCCAAGAATTGTTGGAATCGGAGCACATATGAAGAAGTTACGAAGAAATGTTTGATGGATTTGTTACAACCCATTGGAAGTCCTTGGCAGCTGCTACACCAATGGAGAGCCCTATAAGGAGGAGGGACCAGCATGTGTGGGTCTTTTGTCCTCACCTTGCAGCTGCAACATTTGGGGTTTGGATGCCAACTTGGCACAGTGTGAATTTTGTCTTGCCAAGCTGGCTGAACCTGAGGATGAGGAGTCAAGACTTTGACTCTTGTCATGTTCTTGACCAAGGGCCTCCAGGGTCCTTCCCTTTCATCCTTCCCTTCCTACCCCACCTTCCAACTATGCTTCAATGCCTTTTCCATCATGCCTCTGAACTTGTAAGCTTCAATTATAGTGACTCTGAGGACTGTCAATTTCTCCTAGGGCAGATTACCCCCCAGTGCGCCAAACGCCATAGCTCACTCAATAAGCTACGGAATCGAGTGATTCAACTTTCAGTGGACATCTGACGCTGCAAGCTACAAAATATCTGATTTTCACCGCTTGGAGTTTTGGATATAGCTTTTCGAAGGCCGCGAGTTTTCTGGGCGTCATAACGAAGTGCTGCAAAATTTTCCAAGGAGCCATTGAATCATCTGCTTATAGCCTTCTCTAACCAACACAAAATCCTTCATGAGAAGGGCAGAGCTGAGAGCAGAATAAACAGCTGCCATCTGGGCTGGATCTCAAGCAACTAGAATGACGTCGTCAACGTAGACGAGGATGTAGAAAGGCTCAGAAGAGTGACGAATGAAGAGACTGGAATTTGAGGCAGAGGGATGGAAGTCAAGTGCGAGGAGGACTTCCTTCACCTCGTTGTGCCACTCACGAGGAGCCTGCTTGAGACCATACACTGGGCACTTCAGCTTCCACACTGTGTTGGCAGGGTAAGTGCCAGGAAACCCCGGTGGGCGTTCCATGTGAACATCCTCCTTGAGCTGGCCTTGGAGAAAGGCGGAGGAGGCGTCCATGGACTTGATCTCGAAGTTGCCGCAAGCGGTTATACCAAGAAGAGCGCGCACAGTCGGCAGCTTGGCCGTGGGCGAGAATGTTTCGAAGAAGTCAAGATACTCCTTCTGGGTGAAACCCTTCGCTACGTATCGTGCCTTGAACAGTGGAGCTTTGCCTGGGAGTTGTTTGACTCGGAAGATCCATTTTCCGCCGACGATGTTGACACCGGAAGGGAGAACGACATCGTCAAAGCTGTTGTTGCGAATGAACGTCTCGTTCTCCACATCCATTGCTGCCTTCCACTCCTTCTTATAAGGCCCCGAGAGAGCTTCCTCTTTTGTGCGAGGAGTCGGAATGGTCGAGTTCTCGGTGAAGTTGAGGGAAGGGCAGTCAGTAATGTCCAGGAAGATGTGAGAGACATCACCCCCGATGGAGGGGAACATCACCCCCGGCAGGAGGAGGCGGGGTGACCGAACACCGGATGGAGAAGGCGGCTGGTCCCCAGGCGAAAGGCGGAGCCGGTCCCTTGGAATGTGTACGACTAGAGACCAGAGACGAAGGCGGCTGCGGTGGGACCGGAGGGACTGGGCGCCTCCAGTAGGAGACTGGTGAGCCGGGCTCGACGCGCTGGGAAAGCGGAGCAGGAGGAGGTGCCGCTGCGGAGGATATCAGGGAGGCCGGCTGAGACACGCCGGACGAAGAAGGCCCTGGAGAAAGGGCAGCGGCCGGAGGTGGGGCATCGAAGTCTGCCCAAACAAGCGTCGGGGGAGGTGGAGGAGGCTCGTCCATGGTCGCAGAGTGGAAGGGGCGTCTCTTATCGAAGACGATATCAGGGCTGCGAATCAGCTGTTTGGTGATGGGGTTGAGGAATAAGTAGACTGGGGAATCAGAGTTGTGGCCCAGGTACATGCAGGTCTGGGTTTTGGGACCAAGCTTGCCACCTTGCTTCCTGCGCGTATGGGGGCTGAGCAACACATATGCGGTACACCCCCAGACGCGTAGAGAGTGGGCGGAGGGCGTGGCCCCAAGCCAGAGAGTGGTAGGTGTGGTGTCGGGCCGGTGGGGATGTGGATAAAGATTGTAGAGGAGAGCCACATGGAAGAGGGCATATCCCAGAGTGACCGTGGTGCGTTGGCGTAACTGAGGAGGCAGCAAGCGATTTGAACCAAGGTGTGGTTGCGGCTCTCTGTAATGCCGTTCTGCTGCGTGCTTTCAGGTCAGGTGCCTCCGCCTTGGTGTGCAGGAGGAGCACGGAAACATACCGCGAGTGGTCATCGACTAGTGTAAGAAAGTACCGATGACCGTCTCGGGATGCGACTGGAGCTGGGCCCTAGACATCCATGTGCACTAGGTCTACCGCAGCAGCTGCGACGGATGGGGAGGAAGGGTGCGGCTGCTGCCCGAGCTTGCTCTTGGTGCAGTCCAGGCAAATGGGTGCAGGTGAGTCTGTTGGTGGAGGAAGCGCCGACCGGAGGCCAAAAAGAAGTTTTTTCGGAAGCGATATCGGCAAGCGTACGGAATTTGGGGTGACCCAAGCAATGGTGGTAGAGGATGGTTGGGTTGGCGAAGCTGCGACAGGAACACGGAGTGGTGCTGGCAGCTTGTGCTTGGGAGAGGGCGGCGAGAGGTGCAGGTGAACGCAGTGTGTAGAGCTTGCTGCTGTGGAGTGTAAAGCGTGCTAGGAGGTTGTTGATCTTAGGGTCGAGGAGGTCATGGTGATACGAGAATGCTGGGAAAATTGTGGTGACGCCTGCTCGTTAGAGCTTTTGTTGGGCCACGAGATTGTGGCGTATTGTGGGAACACACATGCCAGTGACACTGCCCAAAGGGAAAGCTGGGCACGGAACTGTGGGGGAGCCCTTGGCGTGTGTTGTGAAACTGGAGTCTGCTCCTAGTAAACGGATTGGTGTCTCATATGGCTAGGAGTGTTGTTCCTTGAGAACTGTGTGAGTTGGCCCACTGTCGAGGGTGAACTGTGGCAAAAGTGCTTTGTGAGTCGGGACACTGTGAAATTGTCTCATTAATCATGGCAGTGCCAGGGAACAACATCTTGAGGCGCACATCAGCAGGGGGAGCTACAGCAGCCTGCACGCATTCCCACGCTTCGACTTGATTGACTTGGTGAAGAGCACGATTGACCATCCAGCTTGGCAGCTTTGAGGCGGTCCGTAGATGGCATACAACTCGTCATCCTTCTTCTTGAAGCAGGAGGCAAGGGCATGGTTGGTGCCGCCACACACCTGGCCGGCACGAGGGCCGCGCTTGATGACGTAGGGACACGGGGGGAAGCGGTTGCGCTGGAATGGTGCCGAAGTGGTATAGGCTTGAGGCACGGGAGCGTGGATTGCATTGGCTTTGGCTTAAGCGCTGTTGTCCTTTTCGGCAGAAAGGAGCACTGATGAGACAAAATTCACACAGTGCCAGGTTGGCCTCCAAACCCCAAATGCTGCAGCTGCAAGGTGAGGAAAAAATTCCCACACATGCTGGTCCCTCCTCGTTATAGGGCTCTCCAACCTTGGTGTAGCAGCTGTCAAGGACTTCCAATGGGTTGTAACAATCCATCAAACGTTTCTTTGTAACTTCTCTATATGTGCTCCGATTCCAGCAATTCTTGGCTCCTTGGAATGTGCTCAATGTCATGCACAATCCAAGCGCATCTGCACAAGCACAAAATGAACATGCAATGACCTCCAAACCCTACAACCCGCACAAATAATGTAGCACACGAAACACATGCAAGCGAAATGATGCGAACAGATGACAGGATGACGTGCAAACGGATATGCACCAACATCTGCAGCTTGTCGATGTAGCCTCCTGGTGCACCCAAATCTTCCAAGCAGTTCGGTCTCTGATCAGCTCCAGCCCCAGGTACTTTTGCACAGGACTGATTTCTCGAAGCTTAAATGCATTTGTAACTTCTTCATATGTGCTATCATTCCAGCAATTCATGGGTCTTTGGAATGTGCTCGATGATATGCAAAATCCAACTGCATCTGCACAAGCACAAGATGAACATACAAAGACATGCAAACACAACAAACCACACAAACAACATACAACACGAAACACATGCAAACAAAATGATGCGAACAGACGACAATGACGTGAAAACGAATATGCACCAACAGATAGAGCTATTTCCGACTGCTTCTTGGACCTCCAGCTTAGAGGCCCACCTCCCACCATGCACATGTATCCACTCACTGACGATGAATCCTCATGCTCAGAAGCCCATGTGGCATCAGCGAAGCAGGAAAGGAAAACATTTCCTTCTCTCAGCTGCTCCCCCTTGAGAACTTAAAGGCCCTTTTGACTGAATTGAGCAGAGGCTGAATACTATACTCCCACTATAGGGTAGGACTTGAGTTAACACACCACTCTCTCCGCTGCATCACACTGCTCTTCTGTTGGATTTTGCACTACTCGAGCCAGCTGTCCCACAGCAAAGCTGATGTCAGGCCGAGTATGCACAGCAGCGTAGAGTAGGCTCCCGACCATGGATTGGGATTGCCTCTGGTCTTCACTCTTAACTCCTCCTTCAGCTGCCTTTATGAGTTTGATCTCGGAAGGCAAAGGAGTGGCCACATTCTGTTCCTCCTGCAGAGAGAACTTCTCAGCCAAGGTGTTGATGAATGTCCCTAGTAAGAAATAGAGCTGAAATGATTGATTAGGTAAGGAGCCCAAGGCTCTATAAGTACATGGCAAGGTGAGAGTGAATGGAATTAGGGAGAATCAGAGGGAATCCCCATAGGGATCTCCGGAATCTCCAATTGGGTAATTGGAGATTGGGGGGATCACAATTGGGTAAGGTTGGGATTTTGTGAGTACACCCCAATCCAGTAGAACATTCATGACCTAAACTAGGATATAAAAGTACAAATACAAAAATGGGATTTGCAATCTATTTCTAACACACCCCCATAGACTGCAAACCCGGTCAAGGAGCACATAGCCCAATGGAACGAAGAAGGCGATGGTGGTCAGCCTTGCCAAGAGCCTTGATAAAGAGGTCGGCGAGGTTGCAATCTGAGGCGATGTACCGTACAGTCAGCTGGTCACTCTGAACAACATATCGGAT